GAAACTCACCCGAGCCCTCGGGGCTCCAAATCAAACATGCACACAAGTCCTAAAACATCATACGAATTCGTTCACGCGAACAAAACGCCAAAATAACGCCTAAAATTACGAATCGAATACCAAATCAAATAAAATTTTTAAAGAAAACTTTAAAACTTCTATTTTCACAACTGAATGTGCATATCATGTCAAATCAATTCTGTTTCACACCAAATTGGACATACAAGTCATAAATATTATAGTGGACATGTACCGGGCTCCGGAACCAAAATATGGATCCGGTATCAACAAAACCAAACCTCAGTTAATTCTTAAAAACCATTAAACTTCCAGATTTTTAATTTTCAACAAAAATTCATAACTCAAGCTAGGGACCTCCGAATTCGATTTCGGGTATATGCCCAGATCCCATATTTCAATACGGACCCACCGAGACCGTCAAAATATGGATTCGTATCCGTTTACTCAAAATGATGACCGAAGTAAACGCAAATTAATTTTTAAAGCAAAAATTCTTATTTTTATTAGTTTTTAACTTATAAGCTTTTCGGAAGAACACCCGGACTGCGCACGCAAATTGAGAAAGGCTAAAATAAGGTTTTTGAGACATCGAAACACAGAATTATGTTCTAAAATATAAGATGATCTATCGGGTCATCACATTACCGACCAACTTTGGTCGGTATATGTAATTTCTGTAAAATAACTGACCAAAGTTGGTCGGTTAATAGGTCATACATGGTCAAACTTTTGAATCACATTAATATTTTGCTATCTAAATAATATAAATGTAATCCGTTAACACTTTATTTTGTAATTCAAATAATAAATACACTAACATATACTATAACAAGCTATATATTGTTAAAGTAGTACAACGAAGTGTGTGTGTGTGTGTGTGTGTGTGTGTNGTATAGTTAAAGTAGTACAACAAAGTGTGTGTGTGTGTATGTATATATATATATATATATGAACACGAAGCGTTAAGGCCACAGGGCCGGGTTTTTTTGGGGATAGGCTTGTGAAGAAGCAATAATCTAATTAGTATATATAATTGATCATCGTCAATATATCTATTATAGAAAATGACGATGAAGAATCAACTAATAAAATTCAAACAAGTAAGGACGAGGAATTATCGGACGAGGAACAATACGTCGACGAGGATTTAAAAGTTGGTTTTTAAAGCACTCTACGTTTTATAACTAGTTTCTTATATGTTTCAAACTAAATATGTATTATATTATGCAGATAGCAGGCAAGGGTCAAGGTAACAATGATTCTACTAGTTCTCGGGGTCGAGAAAAGGCTAGGAAGGGAAAGAAGATGGTAGATAATAATACTCCTTCTTTTCCACCCTCTTCAGAGATGCCTATGTCTTATCCTCCACCGTATGGCTATACTGAGCTGCCACAGCATCACGAGGCCTACACCTTCATCCAGACACCAGGTCTTCCATCATAGGGCCATAGGACTATACGTCCGACATACATCCAACTGCCTTATAGCCACGTGGATCGCAGCCATTTGCATCACAACCACGTGGATCGCATCCCTACATATCACAGCCACATGGATCACATCACATCCACTCGGGTCACAACCAGCAGTATCACAGCCACATGGATCGCATCCAGCTATGTCGCAGTCACAGGGATCACAACCATCTTCATCATCGACTTTATCCATTTCAGTCCTTCTCCTGCGAGACAGTAGCTATGAGCCCCCTACACTGTCTACACATGCTGAGGATGATGATCCATAGGTAGTGCATTATAATCGTTATAGCAGGATCATTATAGCTCCTGAGGGTGACGGGTAAGAGTTATTTGTTATTTTTGCGTTTAGTGTTTTATAATGTTTTTAGTGATATATTCATATATTTTTATTGTTAAATTGCAGGTTCAGGCTGGGTAAGCAGACTATGAAGTTAATCACCAATGCAATCAAAACGCTTTATGATGGCCCTTATGCGACTTGGACTAATTTTTCATTCTCGCTAAAGGAGCAAATTTCAATCAATTTAAGGTATAAATGTTCTTTTAAGCAGTTTAATAATTTATACTTATGATATTTCCATCTAATATTTAACTTTAAAAATGCAGAGCAAGTGCGTATGGGAAGACCACTATAGCGAGAAAGTGGCTGAAAATTATCATCATAAAACTCACAAGAGATTGGTAGATCATTTCTCGGATGGTAGAAAGAAGAACAAGAGGCATGGCTGGTGTCTGCAGCATTTATGGGATGATTTGTTAAGGCAATGACAGACCGATGATTTCTTACAAAGGAGAAAAAAAGGAAAGACAGCTCGCTCATCGGAGAAGGGAGGCTCCTTGTACACTGGGGTGCTATCAGCATCGGTACAATAAAAAGAAGATTGGTAACTGCTTAAATTATTTTACTTTTCTAAGTATATCAATTCTATTTATTAACTAAATTAATTTATTTTCAGGAAAAGAAGTATGGGCATCCAATGAGCCATGATGAGATATTCAAGGAGACGCATATTTTAAAGAAGAAGAAAGAGGGGGATGGAGAAAGGTGGGTCAAAGACCGGGAAAAGACTGCATATGTAAGCTTTTAATTTTCTTTAAGTGTTATAATTTACTTTTATAAGAATTTTTATATACTAATTTAATTTAAAATAATGTAGGGTCGCTACCAAAGTAACGTGGAGGAATTCATTCGTAGTCAGCCAGCTGGTGAATCGGTCTAGCCAATCCAATCTTCGGACGAGGATGCTGAAAGAATATGGTTGGAGGGTGTTGGCGGTCCAAAATGAGAGAAGGTATACATGCTTCCTATAAAAAAAATTCCATCGCTATAGGTGTGGAATGCAAGGAATAGGGACTTCCTTACAGGGCGAAGAACTTAATAGGGAGAGCCTCTTGGTTATGCGGGAGACAGTAAAAAAGCTTACATCCGAGCTAGAAGCGGCCAAGGAAAGAGAAAGGCTTAGAGATGCTCAATTCCCTGATATGCAAGCTCACATCAGAACTCTTCTTTCTACTGGAGCTTTTTCGTTGCTCCGGTCTTGTGAGTCATCGCCAGAGGCTCGATCTCCACGTGATCGTTCCTTCCATCCTCCTTGTGATCGTTCCTCACGTCCTCCCCGTGATCGTTATTCCCGTCCTCCACAAGAATATTCTCTATACCGTCTTGTAGATGAAAGTTCATCAGATGGTGATGATGTTGTAGAAAATACCCCTTGACCAATACTTTGATATACTTTGAACTAGACTAATAGAACTGGTTTTGAATTAGATTGAACAATTTTGAACTTGTTGTAATTAGTTTTTGCTTGGTTTTGGATTGTGAGGTTCAAGTGAACTTTAATTTGTTAGTTTTAAGGTATTAATTGGATGTTTGGTTGTTGTTGTTGGATATTTAGTTAGATTTGTGGTGAATTAGGGGTTGTATATGGTGAATTAGGGGTTATTAGATGTGAATTGGGGGTATTGGTATGCTGTTTTTATTTGACAGGTGGTATAGCTACCAAAACAGGCATTTTCTGCCAAAATTAAACCCAGAAAACCGACCAACATTTGTCAGTAACTAAAAAAAAAAAATTAAATTGCACATTCACAACCAATGTTGGTTGGTTAATGTACAATGAATTTCCAGAAATTCAACATTACCGACCGAATTTAGTCGGCTTGTTGCCTGCCCTGTCCAGTTTACCGACCAATTTTGGTCGGTATTTTTAAATTTTAATTATTTATAAAAAAAATATATTTTCCAATACCGACCAAAGTTGGTCGGTATTTTTAAATTTTAATTATTTATAAAAATAATATATTTTCCAATACTGACCAAAGGCAAAATTAATAAATTTAATACACCGACCAAGTTTGGTTGGTAAAATTAAATTAATAAATAATATTCCGACTAATTTTGATCGGTAAGTCAATTAAATTGTCAGATAGTCGTGTAGAGCATACCGACCAACATTGGTCGGTAATTTCCGAGTAACTTTGGTCGCTATGCCCTTCCGATCTTCAAAATACTGTTCACACGTGAATGATCGCGTTTTGAACGGTTATTGACCTTTACCGACTTACTTTGATCGTTTTTTTGGACGATATTTTTCGAATTTCTAATAGTGACTGTCATCTATTTCTTTTTGAAAAAAGAAAAAAAGAATCAAACTTGAGCTTGGAAGCACGGGGGAAATAACATGGCGATTTCTTTTGTCATAAAAGAAGACAACAAACAACTCCTCGAATTCTGCTTTTAACTTTTTAAGTTGACTTCCCAAATCCCAACTACTCAGGAAACAGTTGAGCTTGTTTGCCTAGATCTAACACAATATATAATGCATACGACCCCATAACAAAATCTGTATTTTCACGTTTATTACACTGAAAAAAAAAAGATAAAACATTATATAGCAGACAAGATAAAACCTTCTTTGTCAAAACAAAATACAAAATATGTACTAAGAGAAAATCACCAACATATCGTTACGGATTCACTTGTTTGATAAAGATGATCTTCTTTTGTGGATATTTACATAAATAATTGATCGAATTTATTGTTTATACATAAATTATACACTGATTATATAAGGGTATATAACTATTATACATCCGTCGACTAGTTCGTTTCAGCAATTAGTTGAACAACTACTTAAATTAATTCTTTTTTTAATATAAGTATTGAAATTCAATTGTCTTCATTCTTTTATAACAGTAAAATTAATGCTCATAATTTTGTGAGCCTTACATTAATTAAGGACCGCGTAGTCGTAAACCAACTATAAAATGAATATAATAAGCTGTAAATTTATCTACAGCATTTTTAGTTAGCGTGCGTACGTAAAAATTCAAATCGAGAGACAAACTTATAACTTACTACAACCTAATTATATACGAAATGAACTAACACTAACCTTCGTCCCCACTAATTAAAAATCGTGGATCATGTTTTATACTAGCTTTGCATACAGCTAATTAAAATCTATATAGACTACAACTTTTGAACATTTTCTCACACCACTTTCTTTTCACAACTTTTAGCTACTCCGAAAAAAGTAATTATGGGAGTGAAAGGCAAGTTGATTGCTTCAGTAGAGGTGAAGTGTGGAGGACATTTAGTTCATGATATTATTCACACTAATACTCATCATTTACCTAATATATGCCCGGGTAAGCTCCACGGTTTTGAGATTCATGAAGGTGGAACTGTAAAGGTTGGTTCGGTAGTTAGCTGGAAATATAACGACGGTAATACACATTTTTCTTCTTCTCTGTATATGATTGCTCGCATCAATTAATGTTTTTACACTTAGGTGTTCGATATGACATGGTCATTTTTCAAGAAAATACGTTTAGTTACCATAAAATGTAGTCCAAGTAAATTATTTGGCATCGAAAAGGAAAAAAGAACATCTTTCACTTATGTGTGGAAACTGTTTCGGTGCAACTCGCTAAACTTTTAACTTCATATGACATACTCCAACTAATTAACAGTTAGACGTTATTATTAATCATTTGTACTATGAACTTTTGTCAAAATACTCTCCAAACTGATTAATATATTGTCTGCATAATATTTTTCTTTCAGTCACTAAAACAAATACCAAAAAATATTTTTCATACATTTTCGGGACAAAACTTCTTTCATGAAAAATTATTTCAATCGTACCAAATACAATATAATCAAATTTATGTTTTTCCTCGTTTATTATCTCTTGTATTTTTGGATTGCAGATGGAAAAGATAAGATTGCTAAGCAAGTGATTGAAGCGATCGATCATCAGAAGAAATCAATCACTTGGAAAGTGATTGGAGGAGATCTATTAGAGTTGTACAATTCTTTCACTATTATTTCATCCAATGATCACCAATGGACTACATGGACATTTGTGTACGAGAAGAAAACTGAAGACGTCCCAGAGCCTCTCGTTCTCTTAGGTTTAGCCCTTGGTGTGACCAAAGATATCGAGTGTCACCTTCTCAAGTAATAGAAAATCTATGCTATTCAGTGGCTCATAGCCATATATTTGGCAATATTGGCTGCTAGTTATTATAACTAGCCTGTGAAATAAATAATGTTGTGTATGAAGAAAATATTATATATATGCCACTCTCCTCCTATGGATGTATTCCTGATGGTCAATATATATGTTAAGATATTATGTATTTTGCAAGTTTGATATTTACTTTTAACAATGACGATATATTTATCAGTGTGCTATTGACGTTATTTTTCTCAACCATCTTTTTGGGGTTCCCCCGGTAGTTATATGGGGACTAAGATATACAGAGGTTCATTATGAAGTAATTAATTTATGAGATTAAGTTGTAAACACCTAAAGAATTAATAACTTATAATACATCGAAAGTGTAAAGAAACTTTTATACTATCTGGTTGTCACGACTCAAAATTTGACTAGCCGTGATTGCACCTAACCCAACCCGCTAGGTAAGCCAATTAACAGCTATCGATTTTGATGAGATTAATTAAGAGGAGAAATGATAAAACAACTGAATTATTATACAAAGAATTCCCAAGGACTGATAGTACAAATCATGAGGTTCTAAGATTTAGAGTTTACAAAGTTGTTATGAAGTAAATACATCATATGTTTGAAATATACATGAACAGATTAAAATTTTAAACCTACCAAGGACAAGAGGCAACTGTAACCGGAACGCAGGTGCATCTTCAAATCTAGCTTCCGCCATACACAACAACATCAACATTTAATATCTGCACGCAAGGTGCAGAAGTGTAGTATGAGTACAACCGACCACATGTACTCAATAAGTAACAAACCTAACCTTAACTTGAAAGTAGTGACGATTTGGGACAAGGGTCAGAGTCCAACTCCAATAACTAGCAACAGTTCACATCAATATAAATAAGATGGTACAAGAAATAACTCAAAGATATGATGCTCAACTCGTTCACAATTACTGAAAGTAGGCAAGCTTTTCAAGTATAACAGTAAATTCCAAATCTTTCACCGAAAACACCAAAAATGTAAGTTTGAAAACTGTGATTTTTTCCAAAAACGTCCAACAACAGGTAAGATATTTCATTATCAAAAGGCAAGAGGAAAGTACATCTCTATGCCTACATGTCAATGTATGCATGCCAACTGTAATACAATATAGTGATGAAATTAACCATATGCATACTCTCGGTGAATCAATGCACTTAGTCCTCCCAATCGCTCATATCCTCATAGTCACTCAGTCCTCACAGTCACTCAATCCTCCTAGTCACTCAGCACTCGCACTCCGCACTCGCACTCGCACTCAGTAGGTACATGCGCTCACTGGGGATGTGTACAGACTCCGGAGGGGCTCCTTCAGCCCAAGCGCTATAATAAACCAATTATGGCATAATCAATAACATATGCCGCGGCGTGCAAGCCACTCCCATCATAAATCAATAGTACTTGCTGCGGTGCAGCCCAATCCCATCAACATCCTCACAATCAGGCCCTCAGCCTCGCTCAGTTATCAATCTCTCCAGTCTCTCGGGCACACAATGTCATAAAAAAATCAGCCCAAAAAAAATGATATGATTATCAATAAATGGTAACAGAGACTGAGATATTATATGCATATAAATGCGTACGACTGAGTATGTAATTGCGATGTAAGCAAATAACTCAATAGTAGAAATGACCTTAGTGGGTCCCAACAGAATAAACATGTAGCCTAGACATGATTTCTAACATGGATCACCGCTCAATAGCTCTAGTATGTACAGATTTTATGGTTACAGATAAGATCAGGTAACTACACAGTACCACAGAAATAACAGAGTTACAATTCACATGGTGCACGCCCACATGCCCGTCACCTAGCATGTGCGTCACCTTTACACCAAACACATAACACGTATATTCAGGGTTCATACCCTCAGCACCAAGTTTAGAAGTGTTGCTTACCTCGAACAAGCCAAATCCAATACCGAGCAAGCCAAATGATGCTCCAAAGATGCCATCATGCGCCTACCGACCTTCGAACGACTCGAAACTAGCCAAAAGCAACTCAAATACATCAAATAATGCCAAAGAAAACAAACCTAATCGATAAAGGTTAAATCTTTAATCAAAATCCCAAAATCGACCAAAAAGTCAAACCCGGGCTCGTGCCTCGGAACCTGACAAAACTCACAAAATCCGACAACACATTCAATTACAAGTCCAACCATACTAGTTTCACCCAAATCCGATTCCGAATCGATGTTCAAAACTCAAAAATTTACTCTATGAAACTTTGGACAAAAACCTCCAATTTTCTCTTTAAAATTCACAATCCAATTACCAAAAATGAAGATAGATTCACGAAATATAACCAAAACCGGGTAGAAAACACTTACCACAATTCATATGGTGAAATCGCCTCAAACATTACCCATATCCGAGCTCCCCAACTTAAAATATGACCAAATGAACAAACCCTCAATATTAAATATTTTTGCGTAGTTATTCTGCCTCGTTTCGTGTGCCAAACAATCCCGAACTAGTCACGTTACACTTTTGATGCCTTTAATGGATTTCTTGTGAAATTTCAGTCACGTTACGCTTTTGAATCACTCCATTTGACCTTATAATGAGGGAGATATGTTGGTTTCAATATTTGGAAATAATCTAGATTTTTAAATACGAAGCCAGTGGCAATTGCGTAATTAATCTGAAAAATATTGCAACCCAATTCTTAGTAAAATGACCATAAAGTCCTCATACGATGTCCAAATTCGACGATTATTTTTGCTATTACTCCGTAATTACGATACAGATCTAATGCTTCAATAAAAACAGAAATATTAAAGCTCATTTGCTTAATGTGGTACCATTTATGCTTGAAATAACGACGTTGGAATATAAAAACGAGCGCAACACAACCCAAACTTATCTGAAACTCACCCGAGCCCATGGGGACCCTGTCCGAACATACCAACAAGTCCCATAAAATAACACGGACCTACTCGAGGCCTCATATCACGCATAACAACATCAAAACAATGAATCGCACCTCAAATCAAACTTAATGAATTTTTCCAAACCTTCGAATTTCAATTTTTGCCAATTAGTGCCGAATTCTTCTAGAAATATCCAATTGCAAATCCGGACATACGCCCAAGTCTGAAATCACCATATGGACCTAACTGAACTATCAAAACTCTAATCCGAGGTCAAATGCTAAAAAGTCCAACTTGGTCAAGTCTTCAAACTTAAAGCTTCAATCATGAAGTTCATTCTTCCAAATAGATTCCGCACAACCTGAAAACCAAAACCGGCGATTCACACACAAATACTCGTGCCCTCAAACTACCGAGCGAAGTGCAAATGCTTAAAACGACTGGTCGGGTCGTTACACTGGTCCTCTAAAAAACATCTATAGGTAATCCTTCATAAAAAATTGAATCTATATGTAAGACATGTTATCTGCTACGCAAGTAAAGGTTATCTGATAATATACATAAAATTACAATGTCACTGTATATAAGTTTGATGATGTTGTGAAATCTATTTTCATCACCAGTTTTTGAAAGTCTACCTATGATTTTTGGTAATATGAGAGACTTCGCCGCAGTAATGTTGCCTTTCATGTAAAATCATTAAATTGGTTATTTCAAAAAGGAAAGGAAAAATGTATTAGCCCTTAGGAAGAGCTTTCACTAAGAATATTTAGAATTTCATGAATGAATATTTCATTATTTGGGACCTCAGAATGGGATTCGATAAATACAAGTAGTAGTAAAGTAAAAAATGTGCGTTGTGGATAAGGTTCTCTACTTTCTAAACATAGCTAATTAAATCTATATAAGGACTACAACATATGAACATTTTCTCACCACTTTCTCTTCACAACATTTTTGTCATACGAAGGAGAAACTATGGGTCTGAAAGGCAAGTTGACTGCTTCAGTAGAGGTGGAGTGTGGAGGACACTTGTTTCATGACCTTTATCAAAATAATCCTCATCAACTATGCACTATAAGCCCTAGTAAGGTCAAACATTTTGAGATTCTTAAAGGTGGAATAATAAAGATTAGCTCAATAGTTAGTTGGAAATATAACAACGTTAATACCTATTTTCCCTTTATCCCTATATATATGACTTACTTGCATCAAACATCTTTCATAGGAAATTACGTCAGTCATACCTTAACTTTGAAGTTCAGATTACTTATTCCCCAACTAACAATTAGACGTTATTATAAATTTTTAGTTAGTACTTAAAGGTTTTCATTCACACACCTTAGGATGCAGTCTTTTTCGAATCCTGCGTGAACTCAAGATGCCTTGTGCACCAGAGTACAGCCCATTTTTTACTTAAAGGTTTCAGTAAAACACTCTCCAATTTGCAAAAATTATTGTTAGTCTTTAATATATGCTTTCCCTAATATATCTTTCACTTGCCAGCCAAATACACAAATTATTTTTTAGAATTTTTTAATAAAATCATTTTATGGGAATTTACTTCAACGATACCAAAAAGAGTATAATCATATTTACTGCTTTCCCTACTTATTTCCATATTTTCCACACAATATCAAATGTTCTTATATTTTAAATATATTCTATTTAGGAAAAAGAAACAGACACAGTCCAATCTTCATGAGCTTCAAACAATTTTTGGAGATATGAAAATGCAAAAACAAGGAAAAACTAAGGAAATAAGATGAAGATATTGTTTTGTGAATGTTTTATATCTTTTATGAGGAATTAGACAGCTGAACTAATAGTAACATCTCTTGTATTTTGGTATTTTAATGTTTATAGGCGGAAAAGATACGACGGTTAAGGAAGTGATCGAAGCCATTGATCCTCAGAAGAAATCAATCACTTGGAAAGTAATTGAAGGAGATCTGTTAGAGTTGTACAATTCCTTCACTATTATCACATCCTGTGAACAGCAGTGGACTACATGGACATTAGTTTACGACAAAAAAACTAAAGATATACCCGAGCCTATCGCTCTTTTGGGTTGTGCCCTTGATATGACCAAAGATATAGAGGGTCACCTTCTCAAGAAATAGAACATCTATGCTGTTCGGTGGATCTATACATATGCGGATGCATATTATGTTTATACAGACACATATGTGTATGTGTTTGTTGATGAATAATTAACAATATTGGATAGTTCTAGCTAGCACGTGAAATAAATAATGTAATGTTTAAAGAATATATTATGTATGCCAGATACCTTCTATGGATGTACTTCAAATGGTCAATATATATAAGATATTATGGAGTACATGATAATTATTAGTGTGGTATTCTCGTTCTTGTTATTTTTCATCTCCCCCTCCCCCATGTTGTAATATGGGGACTAACATTTTTATAGGTTCCTGATTGGGTTTTATGCAATTCATTAATTTCCACCATCATTTTTTGGAAAAGTGTAGCTATGATGTTTTTGAATATCATAGACTTAGCAGTTTGTGATCTTTCATGTAAAGTCGTGAAATTGGTATTTTCCGCCGGGAAAGGAAAAATATTAAGGAGAATGAAAACCAACTGAATGTAAATTATGAAATATTCTACTGTAAAAATGATCCCGCCGTTTTTATTTATGTGATTTATGTTTAAATTTTGTTTAAAAAATTAAAGAATACCACATTCTAAATTAGTTATGGAAAAATCTAACTGTGACGTTTGTGAATATTAGATTCAAGAAAGGAAAAGAGAAGTAGAAGGAAAAGCGAGATATTTGCCCTAAAAGGAACCTCTGGTCCTTGCCAAGAATATTCAAGTGTTCCATGAATAAAAGTTTCATTCTTGGGACCTCAGAATGGGATTCGATAAAACGCAGCATCATACGAGGACCATATAAAAGCAAAAAACCAGCTAAGTACACTTATTGGAAAATGCAGACCAATTTGGAACAAAGAGAATTTACTTAACGTTTTTAGGTGTCTAGACCCAAACCAAGGGCAAACAACACAAATCAAGTGTCGGGAATCCCGTGGCGCTAGTGAGTTTCTTGTTCTTCTTGTGGTTGCTGATTCTGGTGTGGTTCCAGCTTGTCTGGGGAATTGTTTAAAGTGGTTTAAGTTCTGTATAATACTCTCCCAAGGTTTTCATATCAATCCTAGGTGATTTCAAGTCTTCCAAAGTGATTCTAGTGCCGAGAAACCCGAATTGATTTCTAGTTTCGCTTCCTTGTTCTTGTGGCTGCATTGAAAGGATATTTCGTGGTGAACTAAGCTCAAATTGGAGTTGTTCTATCTGTTTAAAGGTAAGGAATCTCTTACTCTACATGTATTTAAGCTTATCCAAGTTATGGCTAAGTCGTTGAAGCTAGAACTTATGAGATATCGATCGAAAGGCTTGTTAGTAATACTGTTGATTGTTGGACTGTTTGGGAGGTATCTTGCAGCATTTTATGGATGGAAAATATACAAAATAATCTGAGTATATTGTGTTGTCATTATCACCATTTTCTTGAATATAAATAAGAGGGAAATAGTTCAAAATATAATGCTATTAGACATGAACCGAGCTTGCAGCTCGACGTGTTATTGCACTGGTTGTGTTCCATATAGCTACTGGTTGTTGTTTGAGCGGTTTGGTGACTTTTAATAACTTATGGGATATAGTACAAACAGGGAGGTGTTGTCCGTTTTCTTGCAGAATATTGGTTGTTTTGACATATGAGAGTTACAATGCTTATACGATGATGACGAAATCTGTTTACTCATTGTAGATGTAAGAAGATCATATTGAGCTTGGTTGACGATTGGAGAGAAGATTTGCAAAGGTATGTTAAGGCACTTCCTTCTTTCTTTTTGCATAATTTAAAGTGAAATGGACATAAACGATACACTATTTCATAACGGATCTACTTCGAGCAACTAAGGTTGTTAATGTTGTTCTTTCCTTATAAAGTTATTCTATGCATGTATGTATGATCCTTGAATCCTATTGAGGTTCATATTGATGGTATGGATGCCCATAACGTTAATAGAAGGTGCAACGACCTTATGTCACTTCGAAAGATTTAGAACGTGATTCTATGAGTCCAACATGCATTATATATGTATCTATTTTACTCTACCGAGCCGCGCTATAGTCGGTCGGGTACGACACCTATTGTTCAACCACTGATCAGTTGGATTTTACCGAGCTACACGTGGTCGGGTATGATTTTACCGAGCCTTATGATGGTCGGGTATGTTTTTACCGAGCCTATTACGACCGATACAATATGACGATGATGATGCCCACAGAGGCGTATGTTTTTAAAAGTTTATGTGCATATATATGTATCATGCATTTCATATTAGTAGCCCTCACATGCACTCAAATGTTACAGGTTGTATCTTCTCTATCTCTCTTTGCATTATTATTAATAATATATGCTTTCCTGCCTTACATACTCAGTACTTTATTTGTACTGATGTCCCTTTTGCCTGGGGACGTTGCATTTCATACCCGCAGGTCCCGATAGACAGGATGACAATCCTCCTAGTAGGCTATCAACTCAACGGAAGATGTTGCTGCACTCCACTTGCTTCAGAGTTGCTTATTTGGTCAGTATGCTTTGGACATGTAATGATTGGCATGGTGAGGCCATGTCCCGATATTTATGACGTTTATATACTCTTAGAGTCTTGTAGACAAATGTCATGCATATGGATACTTGTATGGCCTTGTCGGCCTATGTTTTCAGTGTACAAATGATGATGTCTGCGTCATAGGCCCATATGTCACATATATAAGTTTGTATATCATGTTGGGTCGTCCTGTGTCGAGTATTCCCTTATGTTTTGTTCTGGTTATCTCATACGGCCTTTTTGGCCCATTCACCCATGATGGTATGATAAGAAAGATACGTTACGTTGGTACTCGGTTGAGTAAGACAACGGGTGTCCGTCGCGACCCTCCAATTTGGGTTGTGACATTTACCATGAGTGATAGAATCTATATTGCATGAACAATTGAAACCCTAGCTTGAAGGATCTAGAAGATACAGAGAGTAGAGAGGAAGAAGCAAAAAATGATTTTTCATTTTTTTATAATGCACTGTTATAGTGAGTAACAGTATTTAATAACATAACTAACACTCACGTGTTTCTCACATGTGCATGTGTACATTGTCTAAAATACTCCTCTCGTTATAACTAACTCTACTCCTCTACTCCTCAATACTCCCCTCAAGCTGGAGGGTGGAAGATTAACACAACAAGCTTGGATACTAAGAAGTTATGTTGTGCAGCAGTCAATCATTTTGTTAGAAGGTCTACTAACTGCAATGAAGAGGAAACATAATATGGATATATAAGCCATGTCTTGATCTTTTCTCTCACAAAATGATAGTCTATCTCGATATGCTTTATTTTCTCGTGAAATATTGGATTCCTAGCTATTTGTGTTGTTGCCTTATTATCACAAAACAAAGAAACATGTTTAGACATAGTTATCCCCAAATCTTCTAGTATTCCAGTCGGCCATGCAATCAATACAGTTACAACAACCATACTTATGTACTCAGCTTCTGCTGAGCTCATGCTCATTGTTGGTTGCTTCTTTGACTTCCAAGATATCAAAGAATTACCTAACTTCACAACTTAATATGTCACAGATCTCCTTGTATTGAGGCATGGTGCCTAATCAGAATCACAGTATGCACTTAATGATCAATGGCTTCTACTTCCATCAATAACCCAAACCTGGTGCCCTTTTTATATATCTCACCACTCTCAAGGCTGCCTCCATGTGTGATTGTTTGGATTTTTTGCATAAACTGACTCAAAGTTTGGACTGCAAAACTTATGTCAAGTGTGGTGATAGTTAGATATATAACCTCTCTATCAACCTTTGAAATGCTGAATTGTCCCTTAACTCTGAATCACCTGTCTATCATACTCCACTGATGTCAATTTTTTATTCAACTCTATAGGAGTTTCAACTGGTTTTGCACCACTTAAGCCTACCTCTAAGATCAATTCTAGAGCATTCTTCCTTTGGTTGAGTAAGATCCCTTTCTTGGACCGTGAGATCTCAATTCCAAGGAAATATCTTAACTAACCTAAGTACTTTACCATGAACTTGGTATGCAATATTGTCTTAGCATCATTGACTAGATTGGGACAACTTCGAGTAATAAGTAAATCATCCACATACACTAGTATGTTGACCATCTCTTTTCCTTGTTGCTTTGTGAATATGGAATGATCAAATGCACTTTGTTTATCGCCACTATGAACAAATGCATCAGTGAGCTTTAGTGTCCATTGTATGGATGCATGTTTAAGGCCATAGAGAGATTTCATAAGCCTGCACACTTTTAACACCCCCTGCTTATGAAATCCCTGAGACAACTGTATATAAACCTCCTCATAGAGGTCCTCACTGTAAGAAGACATTGCTAACATTCATTTGGTATAAATGTCATCCCTTTGCAACAGCTATGTTTATAATAGTCCTCACTGTGACCATTTTTACTACATGGGAAAATGTGTTATGGTAGTCCGGCCCTTCCTTTTGATTGTACCCCTTGGCAACTAGCCTTGTCTTGTATCTCTCTACCTCTCAATTAGCCTTGTATTTAATTTTGTATACCCATTTTGACCCAATGGCCTACTTCCTAGCTGGTAAGTCCATAATTTCCCAAGTATGATTGTCTTCAAGGGCTTTGATTTTCTGTTGCATAGCAGCAACCCATCTGCTATCAATTGAAGCCTGATGAAAAGTACTAGGCTCAACTTCCACTAAGAAAGCCTGCAAGTATGCTGTGAGCACCTAATTTTTTACCATAATTGTGATTTTTCAACACTTTTTAGTATGTAAATAATTTTAAGTTTAATCTACATATTTTAACCTTAACTTTATTTTTAGTAGGTTTTATTTAAGAAAATTAAAAATCACAAAAATTATATGTTCTTGATTTTAAAATATTTAGCTAGTATTTTTATTTTACACTCTTAAAAAAAAATATATTGATTAAAGCAAGAGTCAATGAGTCATTTTCATGTGGCAAGATTCTTCCTTATCTTTTGTAACAAACTTACATGCTCTCTCAAAAAATGCACATGCCCATACACACTCTTTTTCTTGGCCACCAATTAATTCCTATACCTAGACCTATATATTTTTCACTCACCCAACACACAAAAAATAGATCTGAAAATAGAGAGAAGGGGGAGGGGGGGAAACAGAGACGGAAAAATAAAGAGAGGGGATGAATAGGCAGTGAGAAATAACACTTTAGAACAGAGGATTCCACTGATTTTCTCACTATTAACACCATAGAACAAAGG